TTTGGTACTGGGGATCGAACTCGGGTCCTTGCACTTGCAAAGCAGGCAGCGGAACCACTGAGCTAAATCCCCGGCCCACCTCCTCTATTTTTTTTATCTGTGTCCTCTCTAGACTTATTAATCATGTCTTGCACTATGGGCACAATCTCTGCTGTTATTTGAGAAATTATTTCTGATTTCATTTTTTCCAGATCCTCTTTTGTTCCTAGTTCAGGGAGTCCAGGTGGTTAGGTATCAGCGTGTTCCATCTCGTTTCCCTTTGGGGTTGCTGTAGTTGATCTGGAAGTCTGGTTCTGAGGCTTGTTTACCTGTCTTCTCATTTTGACGGGTTTGTGCATGTGTGTATGTGTGTGCTGCTGTCACCCACACCACTCACCTCTTCTGTGCTGGGAGTCGTGGTACTTTGGCCCAGAAGCCTCCTCCTCTGCACCAGAAGCTGTGGCAAGTTGATCTGGAAGCCTCTTCTGTGCTCAGAGCTGAGGTACGTTGGCCTGGAAGCCTCCTACTCTGCATTGGGAGCTGTGGCACGTTGACCCGGAAGCCTCTTCTGTGTTGGGAGCTGTGGCATGTTGGCCCAGAAGCCTCCTACTCTGCACTGTGAGCTCCTCTGTCCTTCTAGGCAGAAGGATCACTTTCCTTCTTTCTGCCTTGAGCAGATCCTTTTAATATTCTTTTTCTTTTCTTCTTGGTACCAGAGATCAACCTTGGGACCTTGTATTGGTGAGGTAGGCCATGGAACCACTGGGCTAAATATGTGCCCCCCCCCCCCTTTTTGGTACCGGGGACTGAAATCTGGTCCTTGTGCTTTCAAGGCAGGCGGCAGAACCACTGAGCTAAATCCCCAGTCCCTAATAATTTTTTTTTTTTGGTACCGGAGATTGAACTTGGGACCTTGCACTTAAGTGGCAGGTGCCAGAACCACTGAGCTAAATCCCCGGCCTTGGGCTCTTTTAATATTCTTTTAGGGTAGGTGTGCTGATGAATTCTTCCGGCTATTTCTCTAAAAGTGTCTTCAGTTTCCTTCATCCTTGCAGGATATTGTCCAGCCTAGACGTTTCTAGGCTGGCAGTCCCTTTCTCTTAGTACTTCCCAGGCAGCATTTTGACATCTCCAGTCATCTCTGCTGGGAAGTTGGCTGTCAGTTCAGTCTAAATGTTCTTCTTCTATGGTTATATGGGCCTTACTTCCTCCCTGGTGGGCTGAAAGCTTTCCTATTTCTTTGGTTTTTAGCAGTTTTACTATGATCTTTAGAGTTGTGGATTGTTTTTATTTATTATTGGGGTTTGTGGGAGTGCTTCTCAAAATTATAGCTTGATATCTTTTTTTTGAGTTTTGGGAAAGTTCTGGGCTATTTATTTTGTAGTTCTGGGGGTTGAGCCCACAGCATTCACACTGAGTTACATTCCCAGTCCCTTTTCTTACTTTTTATTTTGAAGCAAGGTCTTGCCAAATTGCTCAGGCTGGTCTCAAATTTGGGATTCTCCTGCCTCAGCTTCCTAGTGTGCTGGGATTATAGTTATGTGCCACTAAGTTTGAGTCTCTTGGATTTTTATTTAAATGCCCCATTCTTCTACACTTTTGAGATTCCAACTGCACTTAGATCAGAAATTCTTACTGTACCCTTTATGTCTCCTGCTCTCTAGTCTCTACTTTCTGTCCTTTTCACTCTGTTCCACTCTTCCCCTTGATTTCTCATCATACTCATTCTCTTCTCACTTTATGTCTAATCTGCTCTTAAACCCATCCAATGAATTATTCTTAAATTCTTATTATAGTGTCTTACAGTTCTAGAATTTCCAATGTGATCTTTTTAAAAAACAGTTTCCAATTCTCTGTTGAAATTCTTGGCATTACATGTAGCTTTTTGAACACAGTAAACCATAGCTGATTTAAATCCTGTGACAGACATATTTGGAACTCTTTTAAGTATTTGTATTGCCTGTGTTTTCCTTTGCTCCTTGATGGTTTTAACTAAAGTGATTCAGATTGGCTGGTCCTCTTCTATACCTGAATGCTTGAATGTAGTGCTGTGGAAACAAATCAAGACCTTGGGTGGTTCTCCTCCTACAGAGAGAACTGAACTTGCGCTCCAGCTCAGTGCGTGTGGGGGTGGGGCACCCTGGTGATCTGGTTTCACCTCAGGGCACATGCAGACACTAAGGTGGAGGGAAAGTGAGCAGTAGATCCATGAGATGTAGTCTAGAGCCAATAATGGAGGATTAGCTGTCCACTAAGGACAACTTGAAAACATGGCCATACTTTACAAATTTGTTTGAAGGTTTCCCAGAGCCAACAGGATAGTGACACACCATCTATTCAGCTGCATGGGGTTATACTGTGGTTTTAAGACTTATCCTCTCCAAAATTCATGTTCATGTTTAACTGCCACTGCAGCAGGGCCTAATGGGTGGTTAAATGCCTTTAACCACTTACCAGTCCAATTATTTAAATATGAAATAACCAAAAGTTGCATATTTTTCATTAATTTTTATAATAAAACAGGAAATACAAATATGACAATTTTATCAAATTTATTCAATACAAGAATTGACTGGCTGAAATGACACCTGCCTGAGTGACACTCGGGATAGTCAGTATGTAAACAAATGCGTTATCCAAGTGATGACTGGGGTAAACTGTCCAATGGTTAAGAGGACTTTTAGAGTGGCTTCCTTTTGCCCTCTGTCTGTCCTTCTGCAATGGGATGCAGTAGCAAGGGGCCGCTGGCACCTTGATACTGGGCCTTCCAACCCCGTAACTGTGAGAAGGAAATCTCTTCCTAAATTACCCACTGTGTAGTTACAGTACCACAGAACAGACTGACAGGCTCCTTCTCCTCTGGGGCTTTGGCTACTCCCAGAGGCTAAGCAGCTGGCCTTTTGAGATCCTGTGAAGTCAGATCAGGGGCTGGAATATGACCTGGCCACAGGGGTGAGAGTTGCTGGGGAGTCTTCCTTCCTCTGAGGTGGGGCTGGATAGCTTTAACCAAATGAGATTAAATTTTGGGCTTTAATAGAATTTAAAAAAATCCATTATTTCTTGTGGGCTGTGTGCTATCTACTTAGTTTTTCATATTGATAGCAAACTTAGTTCTTCATTAGAGAACAGAACCCTGACCTCCTTGGCTCCAGGATGTGATGTGGGACACTGGAGTAGCCCTGACTTTGGAGTTACAAGGCCCAAGGATCAGTGTTGATATCAAGTGGCAACTACAGATGGCAAGCAGTGTACCTAGTGGAGCAGGGAGAGACCCACAGGGCTGACCTTGCAAACACCAGCCTAGGAGGTATCAGTCAGCGCCAAAACTCTAATTAAAGGTTGCAGAGAGCTTGAAGGCCTAATGTAAAACCTTGGCTCCCCAAAGTCTGTAGGACACTATGTTGCCTAAAGAATGATATATTAAGATTCTAGTGTGCACAAGTATCTTTCCTACCTCTGAACATTTCGCTTGGATGTTCCTCAACCAGCTCTTGGGAGTCAAGGAGCATCTGCCCAATGCTGCTTCTGCTTCTTCTTTCACTCTTCCAGCTCCGGTGATTTCCTCCCCAAGAGAACTGTGTGTGGAGTGTGTTTTCTATGCTTCATCTCTGGAAACCTTCTCTTCTTTCCTTCCCTTTGTCCTTGAGCTGTTTTGTCTGCACTGCTGAACTGTGCAGCCCTGCATAAGGCTGTTCATGTTTCATGACACCAGCCCTGATGGGTAGCTGTGGGATCCAGTGTTAGAATTCTGAAGCAGAAAGCAAAACACCTTGAACTCTTGATAGGAAAGATGCTATTGGAAGGGGCACATTCTTTTAAAAATAAATACTGTGGGGCTGGGGATTTAGCTCAGTGGTGCCGCCACCTACCTTGCAAGCAGAAGGTCCCAAGTTCGACCCCTGGTACCAAAAAAAAAAAAATATTGTGACAGAACCCAGAACCCTTTAGTACACTGCAATACAATGGCACACTGGAATAATGGCTTCATATCTTGGGTAAAATCAGATTTAATTTTCACCTGAACACAAGATCCTGTTGCTTCATTTTCATGTATAAAACAAAAAGATTTCTAAGCAAATTAAAACTCTAAATTAATGCAAGCATAATTCAAGCTTATCACTTCACTTGCCATGTGACAGATCTTTCACAAAGATAAGAAACTCTGGTGGCTCTGCAGAGCTGAGGCAGTGACACAGGAAGGGCTTCCATCCTGAGCCGGGTAAGTGGCAGGAGCTTCTGCCAGGCCCCTGGGAGGCTGCTGCGCCAGCAGAGCTTTTAGGCCAGTGAGCACTTGTTTGTGTGAGGAGCAGGAGTGCTGGCCTGGGACACACAGGGAGCGAGGGGCCTGAGGAAGAGCCCAACCTCAGTTATGGCTTCCTTGGGCATTTGCTCTCATCATGATGACTGGGCTTTTGGGAACTGAATTTCCTCTCGTAACAAGAACTGAGAGTCCTGCAGCCCACTGACTGTCCCATGGCACTGCTCAGCCTGCAGACTCAGAGGACAAGCCCATGGTTGTAACCAGACACTTGAGTGTTTCATATGACCCTTAAGATTTTTTTTAAAATTTTATTTATTTATTTTTTTGGTACCGGGGATCAAACTTGGGTCCTTGTGCTTGCACAGCAGGTGGTGAAACCACTGAGCTAAATAAATCCCTGGCCCCAAGATTTTTTCTTTTAAAGAAAAAGGAAACAAATTAAAGGAAATATGCACAACTGTTACTGAAATGATAATCAAATCATCTCACCTTCAGATCACATGCCCTGAAGCTGGACTGAGGTCTTGCTGAGCTATAATGCTACAGGGGGAGGTCCTGTACTTGTGATCCCCCATGAGCCACAGGATGGGTGTCCCCAGCCATTCCTGGGGGCACAGGCAGGGGCTGACAGGACAAGCACTGAGGCTGTGGCAGGACAGCCACACTTGCTTCCTCCCTAACTCACCAGCCTCAGGACTTTCCATTTCACCCCATTCAGATGAGGACAAGGACACCATCTGTCCACTCAGCCCAGCAGAACCTGCAGGAAAGGATCCTTTGATGGCTTCTTGTGTGTGTAAACCACATAAATGTGCACTGAGGTGCTAACAGGGTTTTACCTTTATAGCACATGGTGTGGCTGAGGATGTGATGAACCAAAATGACTCAGCCCCAGGCCCTAGGACAGATGAAGAGTCTGGTCCTGATGGAGTGACACTTGGATTATGTGCTAAGCAGAAAACTGGAAGATACCTGTCTCTTTGAGAACAGAACTAGGCTCCTTCTCCAGACTGGGCAGGGACTGGCTTGGACACAGCATGTGACTCGACGGGCCCTTGGTGCCTGTTTTGCTGTTCGGCACATCCCTCCTTCTTCTAGCTCAGGGACCAAACACAGGGGTCTCATAGGCTCCAAAATATGTTTTAAAAATCAGAAACAGACTTTGGGAAGATGGTGGAGCAGTAAGCAGCAAGTTGACCTCTCCTAGATTTGGAATCCAGAAACTTTAGCAAGGTGGGGATGAAAAGAAGTGAGGTGGATCCTTGGGACCCAGGAGGGATCTGAAGAGAAAACTGGAGTCCACAGAGAAAGTGAAGAGACAGACTGTTTTTGGCTTTTGTCTAGATGTTCCTCCAAAGCCTCATACTGTCATAGGTGGGGCTTTTCAGAGGTGACTGGATCCAGAGTGTGTGATGCAGAGGTTAAGGGTGTATGATTACTAAATTAGTTCACTGATTGGTTTGGTATAGTTCTGAGTGTGAATAATGGGAAGGCCCACCTGGGTGTTAATGCTACCAGCCCCAAGGGTGGGTAGCCTGGATATAGGAAGGAGGGCTGTTGTCATCACTTGCTTCTTCCCTACTTTGCTGCTTGCTGCCTTCTGCCCTATGCCCGCCATGAACTGTTTCTCTTCTGCCATGCCACTCTGCCTTGGAGCCAGCCAATTATGAACTGAAACCTCTACAAACTGTGAGCTACAATAACTCTTTCCTTAACTTTGGGTATTGGGTATTTTTCCTTAGCAACAAGAAAGGTAACTAAGACAGATCTCAATGCAGAAAAAGGAAGGGGCAATCTTCACCTCCTCTCCTGGTTCATGGCATGAGGGGAGGAGCAAATCTACAGAGGCATAGTGAAAACAGGTGACTCCAAAGGCCTCCTGATAGAAATGCACCAGTGAAACACAGCAGTGGATGCTGTTCACTAAAACAGCTGGTGAGTTGATTTCGGTCCAAGCCACTGCAGTATCTCCTGAAGATAGTGCTTGGTTGGACATCATTTTAGGGAGGGGCCAACTGAACCTGGGACCCAGAACCACTGTGGATTGGCTTCATCTCAGGGCTTCCAGCATTAAAAACTCAGTAACTAGGTAAGGGACAACTGTGGGAGATGTCTAGGGTCAGGGAGCTGTGGTCAGGTCAGCAGGAGACACCCAGAGTATTATAAGCTAAATGACTCAGGCCCCAACCCCACAAGCAGAGGCCTAGATCAGCCTAAACATCTGTGGACTTGAAAGTACCAGAACTGGCACCCAACCCTCATCCTACTGCAGGATTCCTAGGATTATCCAGCACAGATCTGGGCTCTGACTGCCTCCTTAGTCTACCAGTGAGAACAGAGCTGTGCCCTGAATTGGACACTACCACAAAAGAGTAGACTTTAGAAGATAACCACAGGCTTGAAATCACAGAAAGATTTCTTTTTTTCTTTTCCCTTGTGGGCTTTTTAAAATTGTGGGCTTTTAAAAAATCCTGTTCATTTAAAAAATTGTTTATGTTTTTTTGTGTGAACATTGTTTTTAGTTTGTTTTGCTTTGTTCTTGTTTTTGTTTCTTCTTTCTTCCCCTTCTGTCTTCTTCACTAGTTTCCCAAGGCCTGGATAATCTTCCATTGTCCTCCAGCCTTGTTTCTAACCTCTTTCACTTCTTTTATTTCTCTATTTTTCCTCTTATCCCTTTAAAATTTTCTCCCCTTAATGTAAATTTTCTCTGTTGAGTGGACATTTACTGTATACAATTTTCTGTCTTAGCTTTTGACAGTGGTACCTTGGTTCACAAACTTGATTTTTTCCACAATTCTGGTTGCAAACTGAGCAGGATGAAAATTGAATCCAATACTATGGTTAGGTTCAATATACAGAAATTTGATTCAGTTCTTATCCTGTTTGGTTTGTGACCAGAATCATGGAGGGAAGAATGGAGTTCATGAACTGAGGCACCACTGTAATAACCTTGTACCTAGGTTAAAGGTGACAAAATAGTAGTTATCACAGTTTGTTATTTTCTGGTCTGTGCTTGATGGTACTGTTATTACTCACTGTACTACTTTAGCCAAGGTGACATAGTTGTTGTGATCAACTGATCTTCCTTTTATGTCAATACTTAAATTGTTTGGGGGTCAAAAACAATACCATAGTCCAGTATCAAAGAACTGGGTGCTAGTCCAGTACCAAAGAACTGGGTGCTAGACCAAACAGGCAGCAACTTTTCATTCATAATAAAATAAAGAGGCAGGATCCTGGGACAGACTCAAAAGCCAGCTATGACTAGAAGATATTTCTGAAAAGTAGTCATTTCCTAAACAGGTCTTGATACTAGTAACAAGGCTACCTACTGTAAGTGATTTACAAGCCTCAACTTAGAAAACACACACACACACACATACACACATACACACACACACAAAACAGAAAATGAGAAAACATGGACAATGCAACCCATAATCCCCAACTTACCTAAGGCAAATCAAGGAGTCATTGAGGAGGAAGAAATCAAAAGCTATCCAGCTGAATTTCATGAAATGGTAGCAGGAGAAGTAACAAAACAGATCAGTAAGTCTCTGGACAAAAACAAAATCGATAGTTAAAGAGATGATGGGCCGGAGATTTAGCTCAGTGGTGTTGCCGCCTTCCTTGCAAGTGCAAGGTCCTGAGTTCAATCCCCAGTACCAAAAAAAAAGAGATGATGATGACCATAATGAAAGGAATGATTAGTAAATCTAGAGTAGACACAGATTAAAAAAAAAATAGAGGAGCTTAGAAAAGACAAGGGAACCATGAATGCCCAACACAGAAAAGAAATGGATTCCATAAAACAGACTCAAATAAAAATCCAAGAGATTAAAAATTCTACTGTAAGTATACACAGCAGAGTGAACAAATGTGAAGTCAGAATATCAGATCTAGAAGACAGGGTTGTGATTGGTGCTCATCAAATAAAAGACTTCTTAAAAATAGCAAGGGGTCATGAAAAAAATCAATCCAATAGTTGCCAGATGATGCAAAGATGACTAATATAATATTAATTGGAATCAATGAAGAATAAGATAGAACAAAGGGCATTAAAAAACCCATTCACAGAAGTAATAGCAGAAAACTTTCTAGGCATAGAGAAAGAATTTGAGATACAGAAAAGTGAGGCATACAGAACTCCAAATAGTCATGATCTGCAAAAAATTACACCAAGGCATGTAATAGTCAAGATTCCAGAAATTCAACACAAGAACAGAACACTAAAAGCTGTTAGAGAAAAGACACAAATCATGTAGAAGCAAAAACCACAGCAGACTTCTCAATTTAAACCCTTAAATCAAGGAGAGCCTGAAGTACTTCAAGCCCTAAAAGAAAACAACCTTCAACACACACTAATGTACCTCAGAAAATTATCTCTCAAAATTGATGGAAAAATAATATACTTCCATGATAAAGAATACCTGAAGAAATTCATGAACACCAAACCAGCACTCCAGAAGGTTCTGAAGGATATTTTAGAAAAAGACAATGAAGACAACAATTTCAAGAATCCAAAGGGAATGAATCTACTAGGCAAGGCAAGCAATTAAACAGAAGGAAAAGAAAGGGAACCAGTAACAGGAAAGTAACATGACAAGGATAAATTAATATATATGCTGTAACCACCAATGCAAATGGTCTCAATTCACTAATCAAAAGAAACAGATTGGCAGAATGGACCAAGAAACAAGATCCAACAATATGCTGCATACCAGAAACATATTTAGCTGAAAAAGAAATTCACAGACTGAAAGTCAAAGGATAGAAAACAATACTCTATGTGACAGGAACCTGGAAAAAAGCAGGGGTAGCTATTCTATTTGGAGATACAGTGGATTTCAAGCCAAGACTGATTAGAAGAGACAAAGAAGTTCACTGCATACTTGTTAAGGGAACAATCCAAGAGGAAGAGATAACAATCATAAATATATATGCACCAAATACCTCTGTACCCAACTATATAAAACAAACACTGATAGATATGAAAAATCAGATTAAGCACTAAAACAATTGTGGGGGACCTCAATACCCCACTGTCACAAACAGACAGATCAACTAGACAAAAAAAATCACAAAGAAATGTCAGAGCTGAATCAAACCTTTGAACAAATGGACGTAGATATCCACAGAGTATTCCACCCAACAACAACAGAATATATATTCTTCTCAGGAGCACACAGGACTTTCTCCAAAGCAGACCACATATTAGCTTACAGAACATGCTTAAGTAAATCCAAAGGAATTGAAATTATCCCATGTATATTATTAGATCATTGTGCAATGAAATTGAAAATCAATGGAAAAAGAAAGCACGAAAACTACATAAACACATGGAAATTAAATAACACCCTCTTGAACAACCACTGGGTCACAGATTAAAGAAGAAATTAGTGTCTACAATTAAATGATAACACCAATATGGTATACTGGAATGAAGGCAATCCTATGAGAGAAATATACTGCAGTGAATTCCTACATCAGAAAATCAGAGTGAGCTCAAATAAATAAACCAACGTTGAACCTTAAGCATCTAGAAAAAGAAGAGCAAGTTAAACGAAAAGTGTGTATGAGGGAGGAAATTATAAAGATCAGAGCAGAAATTAATGCAACCGAGACTAAGAAAAACAAAAAATCAATGTATTGAAGAGTTGGTTCTTTGAAAGATTAAATGAAATAGACAAACCCTTAGCCAACCTCATCAAAAAAAGAAAAGACTCAAATCCATGCAATTAGGAATGAAAAGCATAAAATCACAACAAACCATGCAGCAGTCCAGAAAAACATCAATACCTACTTTGAGAACCTATACTCCAGTAAGGGAAAATTCAGAAGAAATGGACAGATTCTGAGATACAATATGAATTACCAACACTGAATCAAGAAAGATACAAAAATTCTAAATAAGCCAGTGTCAGTCAATGAAACTGAAGAATAAAAAAACTACCAATAAAGAAAAACCCAGGTCCTGACAGATTTACTGCTGAATTCTACAAGAACTTTAGAGAAGATTTAATGCCACTACTCCTCAAACTCTTTAATGAAATTGAAAGGGAAGTAATACTTCCAAACTCATTCCTGCAAGCAAGCATTACCCTGATAACAAAACCAGAGAAGGATCCAGCCAAAAAACAGAACAAAGGCCAATCTCCTTAGTGAACACAGATGCAAAAATCCTCAATAAGATAGTGGCAAACAAAATGCAGGAAATCATCAAAAAGATTATACACCATGATGAAGTAGAATTCATCCCTGGGATGCAGGGATGGTTCAACATATGCAAATCAATAAATGTAATACACCACATTAACGGAACCAAGGACAAAAACCACATGATCATCTCAATGTATGGAAAAAAAGCATCTGACAAAGTCCAACACTCATTCTTTTTTTTGGGGGGGGGGGATCAAACTCGGGACCTTGCAGTTTCAAGGCAGGCAGCAGAACCACTGAGCTAAATCCCCGGCCCCCAACACTCATTCTTGATAAAAACCCTTCAGCAAACTGGAATAGGTCTCTATTTCAATCTGGTAAAAGGCATCTATGACAAACCAATAGCCAATATCATAATAAATGGTCAAAAACTGAAAGCTTTAACTTTAAAATCAGGAACAAGATAAGGATGCCTACTATCACTACTCCTGTTCAATATAGTTCTGGAAACTTTAGCCAGAGCAATTAGACAAGAGAAAGAAATATGGATAGGAAAGGAAGAAGTTAAATTATCATTATTTGCTGATGACCCCAAAAACTCCATCACCAGACTTCTAAAATAACCAAATTTGGCAGAACAGCAGGATACAAAGTCAATACTCACAAATCAACAGCATTCCTTTATGCAAATAACAAACTCACTGAGAAAGAAATTAGGGAAACCACACCTTTCACAATAGCATCAAGAAAAATGAAATACTTAGGAATCAATCTAACAAAGGAAATGAAAAACCCACACATTGAAAACTACTGTATGGGGCTGGGGATTTAGCTCAGTGTTTCTGGTGTCTGCCTCAAGAGCGCAAGGACCCGAGTTCAATCCCTGGTACCAAAAAAAAAAAAAAAAAAAGAAAGAAAGAAAGAAAACTACTCTGAAAAAGGAAATCAAAGAGGATATCAGAAAATGGAAAGATATCTCATTCTTGGATAGGCAGAACCAATATAGTAAAAATGGCCATACTTTCAAAACTGTTATATGATTTAATGCAATCCCAATCAAAATACCAATAGCATACCTCATAGAACTGGATAAAATAATGCTAATGGGCTGGGGATTTAGCTCAGTGGTACCACCGCCTGCCTTGAAAGCATCAGGTCCTGAGTTTGATCCCCAGTACTAAAAAAAAAAATCATATGGAACTAGAAGAGATCTAGAATAGCAAAAGCAATTATGGGCAACAAAGGCAAGGTAGGGGGCATCACAATCCCCAATTTGAAGTTTATACTACAAAGCTACTGTGATAATAATGGCATGATACTGTCAAACAAACAAACAAACAAACAAACATTAACAGATCTGAGGATCCGTGGAAGGGAACTGACAATGCAGAAACAATTCCAAGCACCCACAGCTACCTTATCTTTGACACAGGGGCCAAACACCTTCACTGGAGGAAAGATATCCTCTTTAATAAAAGGTGCTGGGAAAACTGGCTTTCAACATGCCTAAAATTGAACCCAGACCCATGTCTCTCTCCATGCACTAAACTAAAGTTGAAATGGATCCAACATTTAAATATTAAAACAGAAACACTAAATCTGCTGGAAGATACAATAGGTAAAACACTGGAAGACATAGGTGTAGGGAAAGACTTTATGAACAAAACCCCAATTGCACAGGAAATATCACAAAGAACCAACAACTGGGAACACATCAAATCAAAAAGCTTTTGCACAGCAAAGGAAATCACCAACAGAGAGAAGAGACAACCCACAGAATAGGAAAAAATTTTTACCAGTCACTCCTCAGACAAAGGATTAATATCTAGAATATATAAAGAACTAAAAAAACCCCAGATGCTCCAAATTTAAAGACCCAATCCAAAACTGGGGATCTGAAAGGAATAGACATTTCTCAGATGAAGAAGTACCAACAGCAAGTAAATATATGAAAAAATGCTCTGGTCATTTGAAAAATGCAAATTAAAACAAGACTGAGATTCCATGTACTCCAGAAAGAATGACTATCATTAAGAAATCAACCAACAACAAATGATGGTAAGGCTGTGGGAAAAAAGGAACCCTTTTCCATTGTTGGTGGGAGTGTAAACTGTATAACTGCTATGGAAATCAGAATGGAGATTCCTCAATAAACTAAAACTAGAGGTTCCATTTGATCCAGCTATTCCCCTTCTGGTATCTTCCTGAAAGATTTAAAAGTGTCATATACATACTCATGTTTATAGCAGCATAATTTATAATAGCTAAGTCTTGAAAACAGCCCATATGCCCATCAACAGATGAATGGATAAAGAGAATGTGGTATTTACACACAATGGAGTACAACTCTACCATAAAGAAGGATAAAGTTGAGTCATTTGTAGGAAAATGGACACACAAATGAAATAAATTGGACATGAAAGTGAAATAAATTCGACACATAGTTTAAATATCACATTGTTTCTCTTGTGTGATAAACTCAAAGAGTAAATGAGGAGCATAATGAAGGTCAGATACTGGGATACAGGAAAAACATGTTCAAATGAAAGTAGGAATAAGGGATGAAGGAGGGAGATGGAAAGGAAGGGGAAAAAAGAATAGAAGGAAAAAAACAGAAACAAAGCTTCTATAAATGGGGAAGAGAAGAAGGGTTGAAGAGAGGTTAGGAGAATGGGAGAAAAATAGAAGAATAAAGATGTATTATGTACAGGCCCAAATTCCCTATGATGAATATGAATAATATGCATGACAAATATGTACTAATAAAAAATATAAAGTTAAAAAATAAGAAACAGAAAAACACATTTTTCATCTCATATAGAATACAATATCAATAAATTAGTCTCTTTTGATCCTACTAGCCGGTTGAAGGAAAAGATTGCTTTCAAAATTAAGCTTTTCTTTTCTCAATGGTTAATGCAGATGTTTAACTTAATTTGTTTTGGGCTCCAGAATTCCAGCTACGACTCAAGAGGCCAAATCCTCAGAAAAGCAGCCTTTTTCCTTCTCTGAGGGAAAGATGAAAAGTTAGTGTCATGCTGTCCGGGTATAGTGTTTATGAAACTGTGGGTTACTGAGAGACAGGTGCACACACACACACACACACACACACACACACACACACAGAGACACACACACACATACACACACACACACAACCAAAATAAAAAATTTAAAATTAGTAGTACTATTCAGGTGTCATGTGCCTAATGCATTGAGATCCTGGAAAAGCTCTAGATTTTTGGTTTAGAAATAAAATTTCATGTTGAACAGCATATTTTTACATTTATTATTATTGTGCACACCCCCTCCCTGTACTACAATCTAAACTGAGTGATCTATGGCCAAATGGCACCAATTCTCCAAATCAAAGTATGCGAGGGGAACACACTCATGTGATGCTGACAGAAGACAGACCAGGTAATATGTCTGCCTCTGTTCCCCTGAATAAAATGACTAGCAGGGCTGTTAATCTGGGGGGC